AATTATCCTGATATTGATTGTGTACATAGGGCAAATTAAAAAGTCTTGAAAAGCTCTATCGTTAAGCTTTTTAGTTAAATGTGCAGGATTCCATTGTTTTTGATAGTTTTTTTTTTATTTTCTTTTTACGTAAGATTCATTAAAGAGGAAAAGTTCTCTACCAAGGTTTTTTATTATTCTTAAGACTCGAGCTTAATATATTCCGATTAATTAAGGGAGAAATTTTTTATTCATCCCATTACATTCCTTGGTGATTGGTAGTTTTACTCCCTATGTCTCAATCTTAATGTATATGACTTCTTTTTATTTTTTAGTCAGTTTATTACACATTTCTATATGTAGTACCGCGATTCAATTTTAAAATTCTCAATTTACCCTTAATGAAATGATTTCTTGTCACACAAATCTTATAATTTATTTAGACCACAAATTTTAAAAGTCTTTTTTTTTGCTTATACTCTGTTCTAAGTCAAACTAAGTTATATAAATTGGAGATAAGAGAATATTTGGTATTCTCTAAAATGAGTCAAGAATGTCTCATTCTAGAGAAAGTCCTTTTGAATTTCGATCCTATGTATACCCCTTTACCGTTGGATTAGAAATTAGTTAGATGAAAAAATAAAGTAGAGAAATTTAATTATTTGCAAAAGTTGGCATATGAATAGGTAATGGAAACAATTAAACTGAGACATCGATATCAAAATCAGACCTAAGTTATGTGACCAAGCAAATCCATTCAATATTTGATGGATCGAGTGATTGATATGTAATAGAGACAAGACAACAATGAGATTGAATGGACATAACTAAATTTGCCAAAGTTTTCTACTCAAATGGACTCAATTTTTTTTATTTTGTGTGTGTGTTGGGGTGGGGTGGGTGGGGGTTTGTGGACATTTTGATCTTAGCAACTTATTAAATCTTTGCAAAAATAATAAGTTGTCAATTATTTGGCTCAATGTAAAAGTAAAACCTTGTCAAACATTTTTTTTTATTTTTCTAGGAATCTAGTTAAGTAAAAAATAATTGTCATATTTAATTTATAATTAACTTTTTATGTGATTGCATCTAATGGTGGTCTCGAACATTTTGATCATGTTGCTAAATGCATTTATTAATGTTGATTAGCCTTTCAATTTATATATAGTTGCTTATATTCCTTAAAAGGAATATCGTTGTATTAATTTAATCTATGAATTTGCATTGACCAATAATTTTTCTATTAACAAATAGGAATAAAAATAATTTATAGAACATTGTTGTATTAACTTAATCTATGAATCTACACGACCAATAATTTTCCATTAACTAAAAGGAATTAAAATAATCTATGATCAACGAATCTAATGTTATTAATTCTCGTCTAATCTAATAATATAAGAATCTATGATTAACTAACATAATTAATTAATCCAGAAGAAATAGTAATTAGTAGTTAATATTCTAGCGTAGTATTTTTTGTTGTTGAGAGTTATCTTTATAGCCGGTGGATTCTTATAGAGCATTCGAAAAAAAAAAACAAATTTAATTGAAAAATGAATTTTTATGTGATTCGAAAATTTGAAGTGATGCT